CTAAGTGTGATTTTGGCCGATCCAGAGAGTATCTAATTATCGAGATGCAGTGCTCTTCCGTGGAATCTAAAGTGGCAGAGTCAAGGTACCTGTACTGGTTTTATGTATTTTGCATATTGCAGTTCTTTTGTTGGCTTCTAAATGCACTGCATTAAGCATGAATGTTTGTGCTGATTTTTTGCTCCAGATATTTCTCATATAGATGTATTACTTCCCCTTTTTAATTGTCCCTGGTCCATTTCTTGTTAGGACATTGTTTCTTACTTACTCAGGTGTTCGTTAACTTGGTTTTGGCCTCTGATAATCCCTAACAGTTTGAATCAAGCCATGTGTAGTTTAAATTTTGTAAGCACAGGAATTGAATGTATGTGTTAATTGTGCTCTTATTTGATTTGCAGGGGTGTTTATCCACCTGCAGAGGATTACCTAAACCATGCGAATAGGTCTCACATGACCCTTGTAGAAGCTTTTAGAAACATGCAAATTGAAGAGGGACCGTTTGAAAATGGTGATTTTGATCATGAGGTATATTACCCTAAGCTCTTAATATAGTTTAGGAGACAATGTTGCGCTTCTTGTTAATGATTTGGAAGTTATCATTGTTTCATCCATGGGGAAAATTCATACCATGTTGGGCATTTGAAATTTGTGTTTACTCACTGCAGGGTGCTGAACAAAACAGAGATGACACGAATGTCGAGGAACAAAATGGAGAAGATGGGAGCCAAGAGGAGGCTGTTGTTGTGGATGCTGATTCTACAGATGGAGCTGTACTCGTTAATGGTAACGAGGCTGAAGAAGAGTGGGGTACGAATAATGAAGGAACCCCGTCAGCCTAAAAGCAATTGGTTGGGGCAGTGTGAAAATCGAAATTTTGTCTCTGGTGATTAATTGATTCTAAAATGCCATCTCTAACTCCTGTTGTGACAAGTTCTACTGGTTAACTTTTTTAATGTTATTTAAGTCTTAGTACTCTGTAGTACTAGTTCTTTTATAGGCAAGGCAACAGATAATGGTTTCTAGTTGTAGTTCTTGATTCTAACAATGACAGGTTTTGCATGTATTTGTATTTAGAAATTGTGTTCCATATGTACCAGCATTTGTTGATCAAAATATTGTCGCATAGCTCCTGCTGCTTTCACATCTATCTGGACTGAACAATAGAAAAAAATTAGAAAAAAACAAAGGAATCTATACGGCCTTTGGTAAGACCATTTTAATCTTGTTCCATTAGTTATGTGATTGACATAAGAAATGCCTAATTACTTGTAGTCATTTGATATCTTGTCAAAAAAAATTTGCATTACCTGATGCCAATGGGATTACAGTCCTATTCTCCTTGTAGCACTGATGGAGCATGTGTGAGAACCTTCTAGCTTGTTACTGTTATAAATTTTCGACATTTTGTTTGACCTAAAAATCTTTTGGTTGTTCTCGTTCATGGTTTTTGAGTGCTATATATTCTGAGATTATCTCGCCTGCCCACCCTTCTTTGTAGTTTCTTTTTTGAGTCGCTTGGTTCTTGTTTATGATTTATTTATTCTTTTCCTCTTTTGTTGGCAGTGCTCACACCACACCATTAGCTCGCTGAAGACAGTCCGGTTCCAGTTGGCATTAGGCCCTTGATTCAGGTGAGAAAAATACTATTAGATGACCTATAAAGATTTGATCAGGGATCACAAATTCCAACAGCACGAGTACATTGAAACATTGAATAGTTTTGTAGTGAGAATCAAAGAAATTCACCTTGCAGCAAAACCATCTGTACCACCAGAAGATCAAACTTGCTAAAAATATGGAATTTTTTTGTGCACCATTAGAACTGAACTTTTTGGAAGTGTTATAGCTTGCGTAAAACATGATAATTTGTGCATAATGTCATCCTGGTTTCTTTTGTACAAGTAGTTTGGAGCTAATCTGGAATTTTTATGGATGTGGGTGCAAATAACTTTTGAGCCTATGTAGAAATTCATGGACATAA